AGGAGCGCAGCATAGCGCGGATTTGCGCAGCAGCGAGCGGAGCAGCGGCAGGGCGACTGAGCCAGCACGGCGGCCATTGCCGCCTGAGGTACTGGGAGCTTGGAGGATCTCTCCTCCTCTCCCTCGCCAGTCCCCTCTCTCTCTCTCTCTCTCTCCTCTTCTCCTCCTCCTTCTTCTTCTTCTTCTTCTTCTTCTTCTTCTTCTTCTTCTTCAGATTGGAGACTATCAAGTTGGACAGAGATCAGAGTTGGACTTCGGTGATATGAGACTGTGGTACTTACCTGATTGGAGACTTGGAGATTGTTGAGGTTGATACTCGGCTGCATCACAGTTGGACACCGGTTACATCTGGACTCGGTTATCTCCGACATTGGTGACCTTTGGTCCTCAACATTTTGATCTTGTTGTATGACATTTTGGACTACTACTTCGGAGACCTACCGGACCCTATCTTGTGACCTATCGGTGTGATCTACCTCCTACCTCCTTCGTCTCTCCTCCCACCTTTCATCTGTGCCTGTGTGTACGGGATCTGGGTATCTTCTATGCATGACCCAGACCCCACCATCTCATGATTGTATGTGTGTGGAGTGATGCCATGTAGGTCAGTCTATGTGAGTCAGTCTATGTGAGTCAGTTCGTTATAAGCCTTCCACTGCATAAAAACTCATCCTATATTGGTTGATTCTTGGTTCTGCCCATACTCATTGGAGTATGTAACACTCTCTCTCTCTCTCTCTCTCTCTCTCTCTCTCTCTCTCTCTCTCTCTCTCTCTCTCTCTCTCTCAGAGGCTTGTGAGCCTCGGAAGCAACGGAATGCAGCTGCGTACAAGTAGGCTCGCCTGAACTGGTGGTCTAAAAGATAGAGTAAACTGGAATAAAGATTTGAAAACCATTCAAAGCAGCTAGCTGTTTAACATACAGTAATGCAACATTGACAACCCATAATGGTCCACAAATTGTGAACACTGATGTAGCCAAGGCTAGCAAAAGAATATGAGGCATCCATGCTCATCCACAAGTATAACACGACACTGCCATCATATGCCATATGGTACCTTGAAGAACACAGCTTACCCAGAGCCTAGCTCAGTGGGTACACACCTGAACTGTTGAAATACAGACCAGAGTTCGAATCCCGATGATCATGGAACTTTAACGAGTGAAACCAAATGTTTCTGAATGGCCTGGGGCCAGTCAGGGTCAGCTCAATGATGATATCTCAAGGTAGTAGCCCCTTTCCCAAAAAGAAAACAAACGGCTTAACAGTTTCTCACTCGGTCTGCCTGACAGCTAGCAGTATCCACAATGGTAGAAAATGAGACCACCAACGTCACAGTACGCTTTCTGACTCTCATTGGGAAGTGGATGCACTGCCATGGAATGCTGCAACATGGGGCGAGGATGCTAGGCATTCGTATTTACTCTGGCGCAGAGTCTTTGTAGAATTTAAAACGTGAGCGCAAAACCAACCAACAACCAGAAACACTTATTAAAAACACATCGAGATCAACAGAATTCAAACAGTGATGAGTGGACCTGCAGACCCAAGAGTCTCAGAGCCGTCATTTATGAGCTGCAGCAAAAACACTCCTGCATAAAGAGAGAACAAGATGACTGGCCTCCCCATCCATGTTATATGTGAGCTCCTTCAAAAGATATTGGAGCTCCTTCAAAGACTCGACAGCAATTTCGTCAAAACGGACATATTTGATTTTTTGGGTAGTTTTAAACTTCAGTAGAGTCACACAAACGAGTTATAATTGCACTGTGGGGCAAGATACAGTTTGCAATTGCACTCTGGGCGACGGGCACCCTACCTGGCCAGAAAGCTGCATTGTATACATTGCCCGAACTGGAATTCGAAACTCTATCTTCGCCCATAGTGCAATTATAACTCATTTCTGTGAACCTCATAAATTGGCCCGTGGAAATTTCGAGCTCTTGAGGGTCTGGTGTCCTTAAAACGCCCTACCACCTGGAATCCTGATGTATCTCGTCAATTGGACTGATAATTGGATACTAACAGATAAAAGTATGACTAGTAAATTTGTGAGGGAGTGGGTAAGGGAGGGAGAGAGAGAGTGAGTGAGCCAGTGAGCGGCTGGCAGATGGTGAGTGGTTGATAAAAAAATAGTTTGACCATCTACCTTCTTCCCCCCCAATAGAAAGTACTGCATCTAGACTCAAATTTGCCCCAAATACAGCTAGATTGACCCTGCATTCTATTTGTGGGAAGACCGTAGTAAAAGGAACTGACTGAGTGAAGGAACTGACCATGCATTCTATTTGCGGGAAGACCGTACTGTATTATGACAATTGTAATTAGAGCTCGTAGTAAGAGGAACTGACTGAGTATTACTCCCTTTTTTTTTTTTTTTTTTTTTTTTTTTTTTTTGGTTGGAAACAATGCAGCTCCAATGATCCATTCTCTTCCTGGGGAGCAACACATGCTGGGAACCGGGCCCGGCGCCCCATGTGAAAACATATGTAAGACAATTTGCGAGCACCAGGTCAGCTGAGAGTATGCCAACATTCACTAACACTAACCAGAAGACCGAGACGAAAAGCCAAGCTACCCGAGTACTCTTCAACAGGACAACCATTCTAAGGGTTTTTTTTTTTTGTTTTTTTTTTTCCCAGTGTTACAAAGTGGGGGGTGGGGCTTGCTATTGGGGGTGATAAGAGCATCCCCAAATAGCAGACACCCTCCATTGTGGTTGGCTCTAGTCTATTGGTGGGGAGCTGCACCTGCTGGAAACCGGGTCCAGCGTCCCACAGACAAGATCACATCAAGTTCAACCAAGAGGACCAGCATTGATTTTCCTCTAACGAGGGGATCTACCGTCCATCCGACCAAGTACTGTTTTCTTCTTCTTGCAGTAATGATCACTGTCTGAAAGCTATCTGGAGCTAGACTGGACAGTCTCTAAGCTGTAAAGTGAGAGCATGCAAATGCGATTATCAAGCTTCGCATCCCCACCAATAGACTGGAGCCAACACTGCCCGACAGCCACACAGTACAAATGGGGGATGCTACTATCACCTTCATTAGTAACCTGGGGCAAGGTTTTTCTATGACTTCATTAAGAAAAGAAAAAAAATAAAATAAAAAAATTGACATCCGTATTAAACATATGCCGCGCGGTATGCGTCCTTCTCCAACACACCCTTACAACTCCGATCCTCCGCACGGCGAACTATGACTACGTTACTCACAAAGGCCCATCCTTCATACGTCTATGATCCATTCGAGCCGGCAAGTTCCGCTCTATGCGCGATACTTTCCAGCACAGGCAGAATGGCACCTTCACCTGTCGTCATGCTCGGTCGGTGGCGTCTCATACTCGCACATCTCAGCCCCACTTGTGCCCCTTCCAAGGCCAGATCAATGTCCCAGCTTCCTGCGTTCGGGTCTAGAATACTTCTGAAGATTGCAGTATCTTTGTCATCTTCCAGTGCATCTTCCATGATTCCCAATGCATTCGTTAACTTCCCGGTGAGCATTTCCAGGATAGTGATGCCGAATGCGAAAATATCAGTCTGGGGGGTGAAGACCCTTATTTGAAAGAATTCTGGGGCCATGTACTTTGCATCTCTTTCTCGGAACGGATTCTTACCGCGCGTTTCAACATCATCTGTAACCAGATGGCCGGACAAGGCCATATCAACCTCCGTGATCTTGGCGTTAAAATTACTATCCAGAGAAATGTTTTCGGGCTTGATAGCACAATGGATGATAGAACCACCTGCTAGCGACTTCCTGGAGTGAAGGAAGGACAAGGCATGAGCAACCTGAGCCATAATCCGCAGGCGGATGTGCCACGGCAAGCAGCCCTTTTGTGATCCTTGGGTGGATGAGATCCATTCTTTCACATTCCCTCCGGCCATATGCTCGTAAACCAGACAATTTTCTTTGAAGCACACTCCAAGAAGGGTCTGGAGGTGGGGGTGTTGAAGATCCTTCAACAGGTCCACAAGCTCCCTTGTTAACTGGGCATTCTGATGCGTTTTCGTGCTGTTTCCATCCCCGAGTCTCTTTACCGCGAGCGTTCCCATGTAAACGTATCCGTGATGTCGTTGTTCTACTTTGCAGCTATCATGGAAGCCGTTTGTGGCGGTCGTCAACTCGTGTAGCGAAAACTCGCGCTGACCTGCACAACCTTCCATCATGATGATCTTCAACTTGCATTCCAGTTCTTGAACCTTGACGTTTGATTTTTCACATATCTCTTTGAGTGTCTCCCTTTCAGACAACAGATTGCCTACCTCATTCTCCAGCTTCTTGACCCTCTCTAACTGGATTTCCCTCTCTTGCTCTGATCGTCTAAATACCTCCAACTTCTCTTTGTCTGAGCTGTCTCTCTCAATCCCCATAGTGATTAGCTCAGTCTCAAGCTCCTTTACCCGTTGTGCATGCCTTCTCTTCTCTTCTTCCAATTCCTCTTCGAGCGCCCTCCTCTCCTCCTCGCTATCCTCCTTCAACATGCTTAAATTGGTCTCCAGCTGCTTTATTCTCGGTACAACAGCTTCCTCAAATTGCAGTCCTTTGGCAGACTCTTCTCTCACATTTCCCGCTTCCTCAAAGTTGGGCTTGGGACAACCCTCTATTGTAATGAAACACGTCTCCTCTGAGTCGGGCTTGGGACACTCATCGTCTACGACGTCGAGTATGCTAATGAAACGCAATATCCTCTCAAAAGGAAGGACCAGCATACTGTAGTTCCTACACAGAATGCTCTGTGGAGTCTGTGACAATACCTCCTGGCCACTGCATACCATTTTAATCAACCGATAATTTGAATCACTCCAGACTTTGATGGTCCCGTCCTTGGATGAGCTCAAGATGTACGGCAAATATGGATGGAAGAATGCTTGCACCACCTCCTGTTCGTGTGCATAGCAAGTGGTCACACATTCTTTCCTCTGGTAATCCTAGACCTGTAGCTTGCCAGATTTATGACCCGTGATGATAAGCGGCTTTCGTGGTTTAGCGCAGAATCGTATAGAAGTAACTCGCCTCTCCGATTCAAATGTTTGGAGGACAGCCATCTTCTTAGCATCCCATACCTTGACTACCCCCTTCTTATGCACGGTCGCAAAAAATGTGTGATTCCAGAGCATGGAATTGCAAAATGGTTACGGTATCAATGGTGTGTGGATCGAGCGTTTTCCATTTGTGCAAATCCTGGTCAAAATTGCAAAACTCAATTGCTTGGGCACCCTTCAGCTCGTTGGCAATCCATACTGCGCACTGTGCTCCGGAATGTACAGCCCAAGTACTACCGAAACTATCTGAATGCAGCGATTTGCTGACGATTTCTCGCATCTCAAGGTCAGTTATTTGCAAGATCTCATACACAACGATCTTGCACTTTAAGTACCCATCAGCAACCACAACCTGATCTTTCTGGGGGAGGAATTTGGCTTCACAATAATGTCCACGGTTATAAGGCCGGACGGCAACCTGCTGCCCATTGTCATAATTCCACACTTGAAGGCATGTAGGGTGTTCAACAGAAAAAAAAACGATCCATGGCTTGCTAGGGTGCACATCAAAATCTTCGTTCCCGACAATGCTGTCTCGTTCCTGAAACTTCAGCGTCAGCTTGAGTTCCTTTCGCACATCACGACCTGCCATGGCTGATGCTCACGAGATCCGATTGATGCCACACTGAAGGTCTCGTCTCATCCGCAGGGCCGCAGAGGCTAATCGTCTCCCTACTGGATATTTGCTCGACTGCCCCAGGCCTCA